AGAGAGGGGTGCCAGGGTGGCTCAGTCAGTTAAGTGTCCAACTCTTGATTTCAGCTCAAGCCATGATCTTAGGGCCGTGGATGGAGCCCTAGGTCAAGCCCTGCATAGAGCCCCAAGTCAAGCCCCAAGTTGAGCACCATCACCTCCCGCCCCCAGACTCAGCACTGAGTCTGCTTGTCCCTCTCCCTCCCCTGCTGCTCACTACTCACTAGAGCAGCTAGCTCCCATGCAAGGCACACAGGAGCATTATGTGAGCTAGCCATAGAGCCAGAAACCGACCAACATGCATGCCGTGCTTGTAGGGGTGAAAGGAGTCCGGTATGGCTGAGGAAGTAGGAGTACGCAGGTATCTTTGAAGATGACGCTAGTATAATGAGCTAAAGAAGGGCCTTGATAACCAAGAAGGATTTATTTTATTTATTTTGAAAGAGTTTCAAACTGACAGAAAAAAAATAATAATAATACAAGGTTTTTCTTTTCTGAACCATTTGAGACTAAGTTACTGATAAAATATTCTCATTTCCCCAAACACTTTTCATGCGTATTTCCTACAAATACGAATATTCTCCACATAACAAAATAGTCACCCAAAATAAGGAATCTAATCATCCTACTACCTACTCACCCTACAAGTACTGCATGCATGTCCATTTCTGGCTCTAGGGCTCGCTCACGTCATGTTCCATTCCTGGGCTTCATAGCTCCATTTGCCTGTAAAAAGTTTGAGTATAAGAAACATTATAACCCTTAAGTGCCTGAGCGTAAGTATCTCAGAAACATCATAAAACTTAAATTTTTAAATCAAATTAAATCTGGCTCCAAATTTTCACTCTTTAATTTGGCATAAAAATTCCATCTCAGTCTCAAGTACATATGAAGTAAGTGCCTTACCCCATACCCAGAAAATGGAAACTTTCTTTGGTCTTCAGTCCATCACAGTGGCTGCTACAATGCTCAATATTAATGGCTAGATTTCATTTGCAGGCAGAAAGCTCCATCCTTTCTGCAACCCTTGTTTGCATGGGGATCTTATGCTACTACTCCTCAGGCCAAGGTGGAATGTGCCACAAGGACAAAAGCCTCAGACACTTGCAGAAAATTGTTAACCACCCTCTCCCCCAAATATTTCCTCAATTTCCAGAAACTCATCTTCTCCCCTAGGATTAAGTCATTTCCCTTTTCCATTTCCTAAGGAACACCCAGGTGGGAATGTCTGAAACATTTCTAGAAACTTCCATTTTCTGTCCAGAGACATGAAAATGCTTGATAACCATTAGAGACAAAGAAACTCAGACTCATTATATAAAGCTTTAGCTACCTGAGAATGCTGGTAGAAGAAATGCCTCTCATTCTTCTAAGATTTCTATTGCTCTGAGTATAAAGTACTAATACCAGTAAAACCAATTATACCCCCTTGCTCCTCATCCTCTAAAGTGAGTTGGTAAAGTTTTTAAGTTTTTTTTTAAGATTTTATTTATTTATTCATGAGAGACATGGAGAGAGAGGCAGAGAGAAATCCTGCGGGAAGTCTGATGCAGGACTCAATCCCAGGACCCCAGGATCATCACCCGAGCCAAAGGCAAATGCTCAACCACTGAGCCACTGAGGCACCCCAAGTATTTAAATTTTAAAGTTGGTAAGGCCAGATATATTTTAGGCTTTGCGGGCTGTACAATCTCTGTTAGAACTATCCAATTCTGCTGTTATAGCATGAAAGTAGTCATATATAATATGTAAAAAAATAAGGCTGTGTTCCAAACTCTACTGGGGACACTGAAATATGAATTTAATAGAACGTGCATGTGTCTCAATAATTGTTCTTATCATGATTTTTCCTACCATTTTAAAATGTAAAACCATTCTTAGCTCATGGCTTGTACAAAAATAAGCAGTGGGCTAGAGCTGGCCTTTGGAATGTAGTTTGATTTCTACTCTAAGATAATCAGATGAGAACTTTATTTCTTTTTAAGATTTTATTTATTTACTTGAAAGAGAGAAGGAGAGCATAGAGGCAGAGTGAGAAGGAGAAGGAGACTCCCCACTGAGCAGGGAACCCAATACGAGCTCAAACCCAGGGCCCTGAGATCATGACCCAAGTTGAAGGCAGACGCTTAACCGACTGAGCCACCCAGGAGCCCCCATATGAAAACTTTAACATGAATGTTTCCAGAATTCAAAATTATTTTCTTCCTTAAATAGCACATTTTTAAAATATTTATCATTTTGCATTTATTACAGTCCTTCCGACTTTCTGTCACGAATGATCACTGCATGTGCCCACATCTCTCTCTCCCAGATGACTGTGACCCCTTTATGAGAAAGAAACGGTCAGGTACTTTTTTGAGCTCCCACAGAGCTTAGGTGTTCAAACTACTGTGATTGAATGAAACTGAGCAGTGGGGAGAATGAAGTCAAATCAGTGAGACAAGTTTATCACAAAGTATCATCTATACAAGGCTGGTTTTGTTCCAAATAAGGGCTATGAGATTTGTTACAAATGATTTGTAATTATTAATGATATGTGCTCTCATTTTCCGCTTCTCCCTAATTATCCCTGTGTACTTGTTGAATCGCTCGCTTTCAAGACAGTCCTTGGCGATCTGCATACAGAACTCTGTATTGCTGAGTTTCACCAGGAAAACTGAGGTTTCTGAGAACTGCTTTTTCCATTTATGCATTTATTCATCATCAAGGTTGTTAGAAAAACTGGAAATAAATTTGAATGTATTTTTACAAATTACAAAACTTGAAGCTATTTTTTTCCTTACATAATGATTCCTTTGGTTCGTAACTAAATGGCTTTTAGAAAATTGACATGATCCTTTCTTTTGTCCTAGTAATATCTTATGTCCTCATGCTTTGTATTTTGCTAACTGGGCACAAAACTCCTGTGAAGTAGGTGGGACAGGAGTAAAGACTCTTTCTAGTACAAAGGATTAAAAAAAATAATAATAACCCAGGACAGGGCAGCCCGGGTGGCTCAGCGGTTTAGCACCGCCTTTGGCCCAGGGCGTGATCCTGGAGACCTGGGATCGAGTCCCATGTTGGGCTCCCTGCATGGAGCCTGCTTCTCCCTCTGCCTGTGTCTCCGCCTCTCTCTCTCTTTCTCTCTTTGTCTCTCATGAATAAATAAAATCTTAAAAAAAATAATAACCCAAGACAATTTAAGCCAACCCCCCCCCCAAAAAAAAAGCCCCAGTGTTTTTCCTTAGGTAACAGAAGTCAAGGGATAGATCTTTCTTCAATCTATGGCTGAATCCAAAGACTCAGATGATATCATCAGGGTCCTGTGTTCTATTGTTCGGGTCTGTCTTCTTTTATATGTTGCCCTCTCCCCCTGCAGACAGGTCTCTAGCAAGTTGCCGGAGAAGATGGCTAATAGTAGCCCTAATTTCACATCATCCCAATACCAAGACACGTAGTGCAGGAGACAGCATTCTTCACCAGCTCTACATGGAACATCTTCAGAGGAGGGCTGTAATTATCAGCTCAACCAGGACCACCCAATGGGAGAAGAATGGTTCCCCAGAAAGGATGCTGAGCAGACAATGGATGCTCTCTGCAGCGGGCATATCGCATATCCTATGAATAGTCATCTACACGAGAGGAAGCACAGAGAAATGAAGTAACTTTTCATGATCCCACTACTGGTTGGTGAGAAAGGTAAACCAGAAATCCAGGACTCCTCACTCACATCTCAGCTCTTACCTGCATAACCATGCTATTTCTTTTTTTTTTTTTGGGGGGGGGGCGTATATCTTTATCTCACTATTTCACACTAAGAAGCCAGGCCCATAAGTTTCCAGAAACACTATGATGTCATTTCATTACATCTATTTCTTTGTCATATATATATATATATATAATCAGTAACTTCACATTCAAGGAACCACAATTAGACCTGCCTTGTTTGTTTCAATATTCTGAGGATTTTCTGTAACTTTGGTTTGGTTTTGGTTTTACCCCCCCCCGCCCCGACACACACATTATGGGCATTTTACATACAAGCATGTTAAGGTGTTTTTTTTTTAATTTTTATTTATTTATGATAGTTACAGAGAGAGAGAGAGGCAGAGACATAGGCAGAGGGAGAAGCAGGCTCCATGCACCGGGAGCCCGACGTGGGATTCGATCCCGAGTCTCCAGGATCGCGCCCTGCGCCACCCAGGGATCCCGGTTGTTTTTGTTTTTTAAAGTCGCTCTTAGAATACGACATTTGAATAAATGCACACTGACAGGTAATTTATTCCTCTTTCCTCAGTATATTCCCTAATTTGTTGTGTGTGATGACCATACACGTACTGACAGGATTTACTGTAAAAGTGGCTCCTCAAAAAAAGTAAATATAAAAAAAATAAATAAAAGTGGTTTCTCTTCCTATAACAGGCAAGTGGCTAATGCAGAGGAAAGAAAATTCTCGGCGAGGCCGGCGAGGCCCGACGCCGTGCGCCCAAGTGCGCAGGGTGCGCAGGTGCGCGGGTGGACAGGTGCGCGGGTGGGCAGGTGCGCAGCGCCCCCTCCCGGGAGCGCGGGCAGAGCCGGCCGGGAGTCTGCGGCTGAGGGAGACGTACAGACGGACTTCCCGGCTCCGAGCCTCGGAAACGCCTCAGTGCGCTCCGCACACATACCTCCCCGCGCGGGAAGTCCAGGCTTGGCTGCATCTCCAACGCCCTGAGCTCGCCGGGGCCGAGGGCCGCTCCTCCATCCCGCCGCAGGTAAGGGATGCTCCTGGGGACCGGCCTCCCATGGCGGGGGGCGGACACTTCGCCCCAGGGGCGGGGCTACGTTACGAGAGTGGGACCCCGCCCCTGAGCGGAATGACGTCAGGTGGGCGGGGCTTCGTCTGGGCTAGACCGCGCGCTGTGGGTGGGACTGTGCTCGGTGGGCGGGGCTTCGTCTGGGTTGGACCTGCGCTGTGGGTGGTGCTTCGCTCGGTGGGCGGGGCTTCGTCTGGGCTGGACCTGCGCTGTGGGCGGGGCTTCTCCCGGTGGGCGGGACTACGGCCTGCGGGAGGAGTTTTTGACTGGCTGCTTCTCCCCCGGAACTTCCGGAAGCTCCTGTGCGTATCGATGGCGTCGCCTGGGTCGTGAGTTGCTGCACGAGGGTATTGAAGGTGTGGTGAGAGGTGGGTTTCCTGGCAGACTGGCGGGAAGTTTTCGGGGTTTGGGGCAGGACTGATGGGTCTCTTGTCAGTGAGGCCTGGAGGCCGGGCTCGGTCGCGGGCTGCCTCCGGCAACCCCAGTGGGCAGCGGGCTCGCGGGCGGAGGCCCGAAGCCCCGGCGCCTTGTGGGCCCTAAGCCGCTGTCCGGGTGCCAGTTTTTCGTTGCGTCCCCCGTCATCCCAATATTCACGTTGTTGTCAGAGAACTTCAGTGTTGCCCCACCCCCAGGGTACTCCCGGGGTCCTCGTGAACCTTCCTCAAGCCCACAGTTCCAGTGGACTTCTCCCTCTTGTGCCCATGTGTCTGCTGCTGCTGGCAAAGCCATATCCCGTGTCTGTGTCTGTATCACGCACGTATATCGCTTTTTGTTATGTCTGTCGGTTTTAAACCACACCTGGCACATAGTAAGTTACGAATACTAGATGAGTGATTGGATTTGGGCTATTATTGGAAGGATTTTAGAGTGTCTGGTGGGGATAGGATGTGTATCTTCTTCCCGTGTCGTAATCATGAATTTCCTACTGTGTTCCTGTTTGTTTGTTTGTTTGTTTGGAGTCGGAGGACGGTTGGCGTTTGAAAGCATTGCTGCCCCCTAGTAGTTTATTGAAGCTAGACACTGAAGGAGGATATAAATTTCAGTTGAGAGAGAGAGAGAGAAGTTGAGCAAAGGCAAGAAAGGAACATTCAGTGTCTTCAGAGAGCAAGTAGTAAACTAGGAGGGGTGTGATAGAGAAGTGGCAGGAGGTATGTTGGGTGTGTTTAAGCTAGATCTGGGGCTCCGACGTTATACCAGGACAAAGCGCACTGCCCCTAGTGCACTGGAAGAGTGATTCGAAGTTTTTAATATTGGGGAGGTTCATCACATAGACTTGAATGCGGATGACTTAAGCCAGAGGTTGGCAATCTTTCTGCAAAGGGCCAGATGATAAATTATTTAGGCTTTTTGGGCCACCGTTGTAGCAGGAAGGTGGCCATCAACATAGCTGTGTGCTACCAAAACTTGAGAGACAAGTTTGGTCCATTGATACAGTTTGCCCATCTGTGGTCTAACCAAATGGACCTAACGACCGTAGCAGTAATCCAGTCCTGAATCAGTCAGTATTACACTGTGTTTCTGTATTGGCTTTATTTATACATGAGACCATATCTAGTCTCCCTGGCTTTAAATCGTGTCATTTCTTCATTACTAACAGTGTGACATTGGTCAAATTAACCTCTTTGCATCAGTTTTACCTGTAAAATGGGGATAATAAACAGTACCTCCCACAAAGTCTTGTGTAAATTAAAGCACCTATAATATTCACATAGTGCGTATACACATACTATACACATACTACAAGCTCAATAAATCTTAGTATATTTTTTTAAGATTTTATTTATTTATTCATGAGAGGCACAGAGAGAGAGAGAGAGGCAGAGACACAGGCAGAGGGAGAAGCAGGCTCCATGCTGGGAGCCTGACGCAGGACTCAATCCCGGGTCTCCAGGATCACAGCCCCGGCTGCAGGCATCGCTAAACTGCTGCACCACTGGCGCTCCCCTTAACTTAATATTTTTAAATTTTTCCTCTGCATTGTTAAAGCAAACGTGAGACGTGTAAGATTTATAAAGCTTAGTGCTCTGTAGAACAAAGAAAATATGTAAAGCTTCAAGCTAAGAGCCATTCAGATAGAGGTGATATAGAAGTTGTGAAAGTAATTTAAGGTAGGAAGTTAAGATTAAGGACTGATTTTGAGGAAGTATACGTAAGTGAGAAAGTGAGGCAATAAAAAGGAATGAGAAAGGAGACAGGAGTCCATCCTAAAGTATGATGGGAACCAGAATAGCATAGTAGTGTATATAAACTAGCAGGATGGCTGGTGATGGTTAACATGATCAGATGCTGCAGAGAGCTGAGAAAGCAATTGTGTTGGTATTAATGACTTAAACTAAGCAGAAATTAACATGGTACTTCCGATGGGCCAGGTATTAGAGATACAGGAAAGAATAAGATATTCTCTGCACTCAAATAGCAGAAAACCTAGTAACGATGAAGGACATGAAAATAATTTAATATATGCAGCAACTTTAAAAATAAGAATAAAATGCAATTTCTTAAATTAGTATCTTTACTTTAAAAACTTAAATTGATTTATAGTTTATAAATGTGGGCAGTTAATTGAGCTCCTTTTTTTTTTCCCCCTAGACAATGGCCAAGAACAAACTAAGAGGACAGAAGTCCAGGAGTGTATTTCATATAGCCAGCCAAAAAAACTTTAAGTCTAAAAACAAAGCAAAACCAGTTACCACTAATCTTAAGAAGGTGAGTACGCACTCTAACTTTATTGTTTACTAGCAAAGCATAGTTGTAAAGCCACTGGGAAACCAAATGCTATTATGTAATACAGGTTCTTTTCTCACAAAGGCAGGATAATTTTCAACATTTTTTTTTAAATGAAAAAACTTACCTTTTTTGATGTAGATGTGTGGAAAAAGAAAAGACACTTTAATTGCAAATGCATGAGGCTCCAAAGAATGGATTTAAAAGCTTTATCAGTCATTCAAAGAACTGTTTTTAAAAGCTTTATCAGTCAAAAACCATAGTATGGGAAACAGTTCTTATCTCTGAACTCAAATATAGTCAAGAACCTCTTAACAAAGCAAGACATAAAATGCTGGTCAGCACCCCCCGATTCTTTTTCTCCTCACTAATTCTGGTCTTCCTGAAGGTATCTACAACTCAAACAAAAACCTATAAAATAAGATCTTTTCTTTCTTAAAATGCAAAATTTGAAAATAAAGATGTTTGTTTTTGTGGGTTTTTTCCTCCAAAATATTTGGGAGATGGTAAATTTCTTTGAGCCTATGTAGATTCTTGAAGAAAATTCTTCAAAGGAATATTTTCAAGTTTAAGTAGTAGGTGGAGTCAGCTCTCAGGACTTAGTAATTGTCATAATAGTCATAGAAATGTAACATTTTATCTTTCAGTTTTTATCAGCTATCTAAATTGAGCTTTTTGATCAAGCATTTTATGACTTATAAGTGCTATAAAGAAAATAAAGCTAGGTGATATGATATGGGTAGGGAGTGACAATTTTATATAGAGTTATCTTCAAAGTTGACAATGAAGCTGAGATCCAAATAAGGAACAGTCTAAAGTTAAGTGTTGGGAGCAGCGTATTCTAGGTAGAGAATAGCAAAATGCAAAGGCCTCAAGCTAGGGAAAAACTTGGTGTATTTGACTGACAGGAGGTCATACTAGAAGCTTTATGTATACTAATAGATCTAAAAGAGGGAAACCTGGATAAGCAGGCTGGTTAGAGAAATTATCAAATAGTTTGCTCAGAAAGTAGCCTAACTTAAATAAGTGGAGGTTGTAAGATTGCTGGGCTTACCATTATCTATGTGGTAAATTGAAGTTTGTGGTCACAAACTCAAAGTGAAGCAAGCCAGTCAGTCATCATTTCCTCCAGATTCACTTTTAGTCTCAGAAAAAGCTGTCAGTTGGATTTGACTAGGTTGCCCAGCAGGTTTGATTAAGGGAGAAAAGAGAAGGAAAGTTAAGAAAGAAATGGTTGATTAAATAACGGTCATGGAATCTGCTGGCTGAAGGAAAAGTGAAGATATGAAAATGTGAAAAATAGTGAAACTTGTGGGAGACGATTTCAGTAAGACTTACAAATGGTTAATGTTAGTAAACTAAATCAACTAGAAGAACAGGAGGTAGTCCAGTCACAAGCAATGAGGCAGCCAAAGGTGATCCCTTGGGAGTGTGTGGCTGAAGGTAGGTAGTGGGAAAGAACCCTGCAGTTGAGGACCTGAAAAGATGAAGAAATCATAGGATTCAATTTCTGTAGAGAAGCCCATCACCAGGCATAAGAGAGGTCAGTGAGCCAAGGTTTGAGATCCTGCGTGAGGGAGCAGATAAATGTGTTGACAGGTGACATAGTGAGGGAAGAAGTATCAGAATGTTCTGATGCATTAGGTGCAAAGGAGCTGAGTTTTTAAGGAGAAATGGTTTGAGAGCAGCAGTGAAGAACAAGAATATCACCTCACCTCTTAGATTTAAGAGAGGAGTGCTGCAAGGGAAATTGTCCTCCAGTGACTGGAAGGGACTTCCAATAAGATCAAGGAAGGATTCAGAGATGGACTGTTAGAAGGAGAGTAAATCATCAATCCAGGTTCCTTTTTTTATAATGAGAGAGGATACTACCATAGCCTAAAAGGAGTGTGGTCGTGTATTTCAGTGCCTAAACCAACTCTATATTTGAGGTATGTCCACATAATTTTTATTTTTAAAAAACCAGAACCTTTTGTCCAAAATTTCCCAGTAAGACCATAAGAAATTTTGTGTGACTTTTCCCCAAAAATGGGTAGGGTTAATGAATTTTTAGATTTTTAGGTTTAACAAGGTTGAATTAAAGTTGGATATATTTTATCGTTAATGGCCTTTTTTCTTTTTTAAAAGATAAACATTGTGAATGATGAAAAAGTTAACAGAGTGAATAAAGCTTTTGTAGATATACAAAAGGAACTTGCAAATTTCTCAAAAGGCCTTTCCCTTGAACCTCTGCAGAAACAGCTGGTGAGTAGAAATCATTTGCTTTTGTTATGGCTAATAAGCTAAACTCCCAACTTTTTAAAGCCAGTAAGTTGAGTGTAATTTTTAGTATTTGGCTCTCTACTATACTTGGCCCTATAATATATATAGCATATTGAATCATATTCAGACTCTAAAACATTGAGTCCAAATATGAGAATTTATTATTCTACTTCCAAAGGTATGCCTGGAAGAAATTAGATAATCAATTATATACAAGTCATTTTTGTTCACTGTTGTTATCTACATTTTAAAATATAACATTTTTCTCCCTTCAGATTCCTCAGCAGTGTCATGAAAATGAACCAGTTAATGTTGATGAAGCAACAAGATTAATGGCTCAGTTGTAATACACTGGAGATACATCAAATCCCCCCCAAAAGACCAATAAATTAAATGTTTTATACAGTTTTATTTTTAAAAATCTTGTTAATGTACAGGCATTGGCACATTTTTAAAACAAACTACATAAACAGATCTTTCCTATAATCTAGGAAAGTGGAATGTCAGAAGTCAACAAAATGTGATAAACTTAAAGTGCTAAAACAGAAGGCACTTCACAAAATCCGTTCACTGAAACAGTTAATATATCCTACTTTACATCCTTCACTTTATAAGTGGCAGTGAATGTGTGTTTGGATTGGAGGACACACAGAAACATGGACAGTTTCGTGGCAGTAAAAAAATATAAGACAAACAAGTGATGAGCTGTTGGCCAACTTTTTTGTTTTCAATGGCCTTAAGTCTACTTTAACTTTCCTCTCATAAGAGGGAAAAACAAGGATTCAGAATTGGAAGAAAAGTGGAAATCTCAGGATGTAATTACTTGAGGGTGGGGGGAGATTTATGGGTATTAAATCAACTTTTCCCTTGAAAAAACCCTTTGTTCTTGGTTGAAAAGAGCCCTTTGTTTTTATGAAGTTTTGTGAAGTAAAAAAGAAAGTATTAGAGAACACTTCAGAATCAGTGAACTAAAAAGGTGTTACATTCATTATTTTAAATACTTAGGTTATTAAGAAGTCTAAAATGTTACAGTTAGAGGTAGATAACAGTCCCAAGTTTCCATGGAATCTAATAATTTAGTATCTGGACATCAAACAGATCACAAACTCCTTCATTATCATCTAAATTAAAGTTGTAGTCATCTGCCGGGGTAGGAGAAAGCCGTAAGAGAGGAAACACTGCAAGCAAAAAAAATATACAGTGTTAAACACAGGTTTTACATACAGTTAATGATGTTTAACAAACCTGTTCAAATTCATCTACCCAAATTATGTATAAGAATGTTTAAACTATATAATAGAAAAAGTAACCAAATTAATGACTTGTAAGATACTATATATTTGGAAGGATTCTCATTTAAAGATAATTTATGCATTGGTATGCATAGGTAAAGCTTGAGAAAAAGAGGTTAAAATTTTTATGGCTTGAACTTGTCACTAAAATATGTGCTTCAGAAACATTGGTCAAAGTATATCCTCTGATGTGCTAAATAAGTTACTTTTTTTTTTTTAAAGATTTTCTTTATTTATTCATAGAGACAGGCAGAGACACAGGCAGAGGGAGAAGCAGGCATCATACAGAGAGCCTGACGTGGGACTCGATCCAGGGTCTCCAGGATCATGCCCTGGGCTGCAGGCGGCGCTAAACCGCTGCGCCACCAGGGCTGCCCAAGTTACTGCTTTGAAAACAAAAGTAGGAACTCCACTTAATCTGCTGATATTCTGTTTCTACAGAAATGTTTAATCTCTAATGGTTACTGTACCATTTGCCTCTTTAATAGTTACAACTTCCTAGGTTTGGCTATATTTGTTAGGAAGCAGGACTGAATCTAAGAACTTACAAAAAGGCGAAGCCAAAAGTTATTATTAAAGTAATTAAAAATTATTTTTTTGTATTTTTAAGAATTCAGATTAGATGACAACTTGGCTGATGTTAATAATAGTTCATGGAGGGGCACCTGGGTGGCTCAGTCAATTAAGTTTTGCCTTCAGCTCAGGTCATGATCCCAGGGTCCTGGGATTGAGCCCCTGCATTGGGCTTCCTGCTCAGTGAAGAGTCTGCTTCTCCTTCTCCCTCTGCCTTTCCTTCCCTTTGCTTGTACTCTCTCTCTCAAATAAATAAAATATTTTAAAATAATAATAATAATAGTTCAGGGACTTCACACTGGTTGCTTGAAATGGTCTTAGTTGCATTATTTACAAAACTGGATTTTGAGATTACCTATAATAATTTTACTCTTCTTGGCCACATTCTTTAGATATGAAAAGGTAACTAGAAATTTATTCAGTGACAGTAATAAGTATCCCCTTATGGGCTCTTTTTTTCTCATAATGCAGAAAAATAAAAATTCTGAAGGATGCCTATGATTTACTATTAAGTGGGAGATTTTTCATAAATCATAGGATGTTAAGCAGTTAAAAAACAGGTTCTGCATTTCTTTTAAATCTTATGCCACTTACAAATTCTAGAAAAGCATTCTTGATAAATGAAATAGTAAAACTTTGAACTGCTTACCATCGGAAGACATTAACTCATCAATGATATCTCCACTAATAGATCCTGCTGGAAACAAATGTGATAAAGTTTTGTCACATTTCTATTTATATAGTTTAATAGTAAAAAGCAATTTTATTTAAATGCAGCATATATTTAACACAGTATATATTTAAACAGCATAAAACAGTTAAACAGCAGCTTGATTAACAGCACAGTGTTAAGGTCAGAGAACTTTATGAAAAAGATACCATTTTCATGAGCACCTACTCTGTGCTTGGCATTACTTTAAAGCTTCCAAACTCAAGATGTAGATCAAAAGACTTGTCATTCGCCCAAAACTGACTCCTCAGTTTTACAAAGTCAGTGGTACTGTAATTCTCCCAGTCACCCAACCTTAAAACTTCAGCATCACTTTCCATTCCTCCTGTTAAATTTATCTCCAGATCTCACATATTTTATTTTGCCTAAACAGTATTTCTCAAATCCTCTTTCTCTCTCCAATCCTATTATCACTCATTTTAGTGTTAATGTTCTCTCCTTGTTGCATAACTGCAGATCTTTAGTCTCCATTGCCTCTAATCTCTTCTGTTTCCCAAAAGCATCCTCTTTGCTAATCCTGTTACTCCTGTGCTCACCAGTACACAGCTCTAAGTATGCTACTTCCCTTCTTGGGGAATCTTCATTGGCTTATGAGCTAAAGTCCCAACTCAGCAAAGTTCTCCCTCATCTGAACCCAAATTACTCTTCCCTACTACTTCCAAATAGAAAACCATATACAGAAATTTAATGCTTTGTGGAGGCTGATGTACTAATTGTGTCTAAGTTAAACCACATAAAACTTGCCTGCCTTTATACATCTCCCACTAGATTATGATTAGATCATAAACTTTTTAAGGAGAACGCTTTCTGCTGTGCACCTCATTCTATATCTGTAAGTATCGGAATAGTTATAGAGGAAGGAAAGGAAGAGGCTGAAAAGTATTTTGTGTCCAGTTAGATCTTTATAGCCTTATTCTTAACTATTGTGAACTCCCAGAGTAGTAAGCCTCATGCCACATTCCATGACACATGAGATGTGTGCCAAAGGTGAAAATAAACGTGGGATTGTATACAATGTTTTTTTTTGTTTGTTTTTTGGTTTTTTAAAGATTTTATTTATTCATGAGACACAGAGAGAGAGGCAGAGACACAGGCAGAAGGAGAAGCAGGCTCCCTGCAAGGAACCAGACAGGGGACTCCAGGATCATGCTCTGGGCTGAAGGTGGCGCTAAACCGCTGAGCCACCTGAGCTGCCCTACAGTGTTGTTTTTAATGGTCTGCAATATTACATCTAGACTGGCATGACTAAGTCTAAGTCGATCATTCAATAACTATTCAGAGAATAGCTGCCATGGGCCCTTTATTTGGGATCTGTAAGGAGTGGCTAAATACCTGGCCATGTAACCACAGAAAAAAAAGTGAGTGCCAAGGAAGTTTCTATAATTTAGATCTGGACCCCTCCTAATGCCCAGTTTTTAGAGTTTTAGTTACTTTCATTTCAGATTAAACGACTTAGGAAGGCAAGATTTCCTAAATTGGAATTGAGACCTTTTTTCAAATACATAAAATTAAGCTTCCAAATAAAAAGTATGACAATAAGGAGTATGAAGAAAGGAGGCAAGTGTCACTATACATCAGTTTTGATTTTTCTTAAAGGTAATTGGAACGCATTTAACTCACTTAATACTAGAGTGACTTAAGAGATAAAAGAACCTTACCAAAGTAAGCCTCTGATTAAAAAAACAAACAAAAAAAAAAAACAAAAACCTGACATATGTAAATAGTAAAAGTGGGGGGAAATGAACAAATTTCAATTAATTCCAAACATGGAATCCTATGGAACACTGCATACTTAGGCCCATTCACTGTCTTTCCCTTGGTCTCTTTAAAAGTCTACAGTCCTAACCTAACCACATTATACTGTATCCAGTTGTCTGTGTGTCTGAACATATAATCAGATTGTATGCCTACGTTACCTCAGAAACAAATCTGTAGTAATATAATTAAAGGCAGCGTCCGTTTTAAAATTTTCATCACACCTATCCCAGTGCTGGGCACACAGGGGACACTAAATATTTATTAAGCTTACCATTTTGCCTCCTGTGTTTGGTAAGAGAATAACCATAGCTGACATTCAGAACAGCTCACCAACTTGTTTAATACAGTATTCATATTCTCCCTTCTTGACTTTTTAAAACAAAGGCCCTAGACCCACCTGATGATAACTCTGTGGCTGGTGTCTGTTGAAGATTTTGGCTTCTTTCGGAGACATGTTGTTCAGGCAGATTCTGGGTTGCTATGTTGGATTTCTGTGCAGTCACTGGAGTGGAGGGCTGAGAGGAGGGTTGTGTGAGGTCATCAGGTGGGGGGACAGGAAAAACCACAGGCTTAGACGAACTGGACTCTTTATTTATAAGCAGCACGTGGATAGGTCCTGAATGACTCTTTAGATTGATCTGGTATTTCTTTTGTCCATTCTGACCCTTTAAAGTTATTGGTTATAAACAAATGAATAAATATTAATATTTCTAAGTACCTTGGAACATTAAAAACTAAGATAAGCAAAGCTATTAGGCACTAATTATACATATAGCATAGAATTATGTATAGCAGAGTCAATAAATCGACTTTGACTCAACTTAAAGCCATCTATAATTGTTGTTATTATTATTGTTGATATTCAAGTTGAACTTTTTCCGTAGTCAGGACTGTTATATCAGTTGTAGTCATTTTAATTGATTCTTCAAACATTACTGACTGTATCATTACCCATTCCTTCATATCTTCTAGCTCAAAATCAAATTTGATAAAACTGGTAATCAAAATGTTAAATGGAGGACACCAGGGTGGCTCAGTGGTTGAGCGTCTGCCTT